AAATGTAAAAAGAAAGTGACAGAAAAATGTTTCCTGCATCTGCTCCATGATCCAGAGCCACACCAAAAATGTATGGGTTCTTCCCTGACCCATACTACGTGCTTTGACTAAGTTTTTTGATAATCTGTTCAGCAGTTTTTGTGTAATCCTGCTTACAAACAGACCAATAAACGATTTGTTTGTAAGTGATTTGCAACCAATCGCTAAGATCGATTACAAGGAGACATTTCTTTGTTTTATGGCAACAAATGAAAAAGGTTGGGAACCAGTGGACTATAACTGCTGCGCAGGCCTTTACTCAGAGTTCTCAAACACTGAGAGGATGTTAACAAATGTTTAATTGTGTGAACACATATCAAACATTTAACAAACAGTAAACTTACAGTAAAAATGTTGTATATATATATTTATGAATATATACACACATGAAATGCTGCGGGTCGAAAGATGACAAAGCATAAAAATATACACACTTGATTATTGTGCAGTCGCATGAACACAAACTGCTAATGATGTAAAACATATTCTAAGAATCAACCCCTACTAAAACCTGAGTTTAACATTAAAGCAAGATGGTTTCAAGTGTGGACTTGGCACCACGACAGGAGAGCAAACCTGTGAAATGCAGCTACAACAAACATGATTTGGTTTGAAAAATGGTTCTGAAATGTTCAGAAAATCAGTATTTCTGCCGCTGACAACAGATAAATACTTTGAGAAGTGTGAATAATTACTGGGACACAACGTAGCCCTGAAACTAGTTATTTGACGGTGCACACAAAAACTATTTCAGGCAGAAAAAAATGATTACACTTTAGTTTTATACAGGTTGATACACTTTGTTACAGTACAAAATGATATCAAAAAACAACCTTTTGGCTTGGCTTTATACAAAACAGGTTGTCCATCCTTTACTCTTTCAGGAAAACTTGACACAGCCTCATCTTTATGTCAAAACACTTACAGTATTCCAGTCATTGTACATGGGTGTGTTTGTCTGTCAAAGCATAATACAATCGTCAGTGCTCAAGCTGAATCCGTCCGACTTGACCGTCTTCCAGCACGTGACAAATAAAAGAGAAGGCAACTCTTCAGTAACAGATTTCCTACATCAACGGCCTTCGCTGCAGAATCACAACCGATGAAAGGTTTTCCTTTGAAGTAAAATATGCAAAGTTTAAATAAACAGAGGTGCAAAGAGCTCACTTCGGATCTCAAAAACAGCTGAGTCGTTTGAGAACGACTTCAGGGAACAAGACGTCTTCTCTAGAATAAAAACCTTCAACACTTCTTCAGAGCTGAGCCCTCCTGTTTTTAGTACCTGTTGGTTATGACTCTGGACTGCATACATTCACTGACTTGCATAAATTAAATCTGACTGTAACAGAGACCGATGTTGAGCGTCGTTTAAAATGATGCAGTGAGACGTTCACTGACAGTACCTGAACTATGTCTTTTACAGTCTCCAGTGCAGAGCAGGGAAACAATACAGTGACAACAACGTGTGTGTGCGTCCTTTACAGTGGCAATGTAGAGGTAACTTAACTAATAAATTATGGCCTCCAGTTCATAATAAGGCAAAAAACATGAACTAATGCACTAATGTTATCTGTGGTCAGATGAACTGATACTACTTATGTGTTGTGTATCCGTCTTAATGTGAAAGGTGTTTCCATTAATAAAGATTGTTCCGCTCATAGCTACAGAAATGACTATTGTTAATTACTGTTATTACTTTATGCAATTATTTTATTTCTTAAGATGCGAGGTTGGTATGATTTTTCAAAGATATCAAAGCTGTAATCTTTGTGGATTTATTTGTTTACTTGGCCAAAAACTAGTTAAATCCGTTCATAAAATACCCAGCATGTGTAAATCCTTGACTCTCTGCAGTCAGCTTAAATCCCCAAATTTATAAAAAGTCCAGAGGACGTGAGCTTGGCGTCCTCAGCGGTGGCTTCGGCCTGGTTAAGGTGGATGTTCGCTGCATTTCGTCCCTGCAGAATAATGCATGTCTGTGTGTTTGGTTGCCAGTGAGAGAAGAACGAGTCTTTATCGCCTATTGTTTGGTCTGTTTCAGCTTCTCGATGTGATGACAGAGTTTGAGCGCCGGGCCAAGCTTCAGTCCCATGTACTTCATGATGACATCACTGCGCAGCAGCATCAGAGCCTTGCCATCAATCTCCTGTAAAAAGGGGGGGGGGGGGGGGCACGCTGTCACTTCACAAACACTTCTTCATGGCATTTCCATCAAAATGTCGATGACCAGGTTTGAATCATACTCTGAATGTAAAGATGGAAGACATGACGGCTGCTAAAAGATGAAGCCAAAGCATCTTGATCGCCCCCTAGTGGCTGGCTCTACTGTTGGTTATAAATCCTGCCTCCTCCATGTTAATGGATGAGACATGAGCTAAACTAAAGAGTCAAAGTAAACTTTAAATTAATTTTAATTTTAGGTAGTTCTTACCCATGTAGCAAACTTTTTTGGTCCACATCTGGGCATTACTACCGCAGCTCCACCCCCCTAATCACTATACCATCCAGACTCTGCCTCCAAATATTAAAGACAGCTGCATTTTTATTTGGGATATTTCAGCTTCCGTTCTGCATAATGGGAGACTCTTGGTCCGTCTTTATGTGCAGCCTATGGTTTAATTTGACGATCATTAAACAAGACAAAGAAAAGGTTCCCATGACGGAAATACTCACATGTTTCCTAAACAGTTCGATGTGTGGGCCCAGAGTGTGGGGATCCGCCTCCTGGACGAACCTTATGACATCATCAACAGACCAGGAAGAAGCGTTGTTCCCTGAACCTTCCTTGTCCGGTTTCAAGTGGTCTGGTCCTGTTGTTGAGCTCGCTGCTTAAGATTGTGAGGACGAGAGAAAAGAAAAGGATATAAATCAAATCGAACCTTTTACTAAACATTAAAGCGTGTGGCCATTTTTTCATCTGTGTTACAGATTGTGAAATACTGGTCACCTTCACATTGAACCGCAGCCCTTCTCACTTACTTGAATGAGGGAAGTGTATTTCTGCAGTTGGGGACTCCTCTAAACGAAATTCTGTTGTGTAAAAAAATAAATATATAATCTGCAATCAGGCAAAGCACTCTATTGGCCAATCCAGTAGCAGATAATTAGACTCCATTGGAATTATTTTTATTTTATTACATGACGAACCCTTCAGAGTTGTAAAACCCGGTCGATTATCCATCTAGTCATTTCACGAATCTCTCTCTGTCTGTATGTGGCTCACATATCTCCAGAACAGTTCATCTTATCGGCTTCACACTTGGCGTATGTTTTGTGAACGGCCCAACGAAGTGCAGTGTTGAATTTGGTGCGATTTGGAAATGTGATACATTCAGTATTTATCCACTTTGAATAAATAGGCGACTCTGTAGCCGCAACGGCTGGAACTCATTGAGGAAAGTGACGTTGATCGGCTGTCGGTCTTTACTTGTGGTGGCTCAATTACAACAGGTCACTTTTACAGTTTGAGAATGAAATCTGAAACTAGAGTCACCGCAGGTCAAACCAACAGCCCATTTAAAAACAGGCAGGTTTAGAACAGGCACTGCAGTAGTGGAGAACAAACACGTGCAACACCATGCAGTCACCTGGAGTTTTATCAGCCTTATGTCAGAATTTCTGGTTAGTACATTATACCTGTGGGCAGGCAGCATGGCTACCAAAAGATTATGGAGATTTATTTGTATGTTTTTGTTGTTTGTATGTTTCTTTGTATTGCTAACATTTGAACTTAAATATGGTGTGTGTGTGTGTGTGTGTGTGTGTGTGTGTGTGTGTGTGTGTGTG